GTGGCAAGTCTGTCTCTTTTTAGGTCCAGAAGCTGTAGCCTCAGTTAGTGTAAATTACTTGTTTCTGCCAATTGAAGAGCTGATCAGGGCGCTTGTCCTGGATGACCAGAACACCGCAGCTGTGCTTTGCCAAGACTTTTCTTCTACTTGTGTGAGAAATGTACTACAGCTGGCTGTTTCACAGGAGCTACAGACTGAATGTAGCTCATGGGGTAAATTACTGATGATCTAATATGTAATGGGAAGTTTCTATGCTTCCAGAGTGAAATTGTTGACAGCAATGGAGGAACTTCACATTCTTCAATGTGAGTCATTTCTGTGCTTTGTTGCTATATAAAACTGCATTCTGCTGATTAACAAATTGATCAGAGTCCAAATAATTTTCACCTATGCTGAACTAGTAGTTTTGTAATCATCTGCAGTGTATTCAATGGTTGCTCATCGTGTCCTATTCAACTCTGTGCCACATAAGGGAAAATAACATAGACTAATGTTCAACAAATTGATTTAGATCAAGAGTATACCCATAGGAGTATAATGTATTTTTATACATATATGAATAGTGTGTGTGGCAAGTAGTTTTATTATTCATGTATATTTCAAATATAACATATTCAAATTGCCTGTCTTCAGTTGTCTGTCCTCAAACAAAGCATTTCCTGCTTCCCTGCTTCAGAATTGTGATCAGAGCCAGTAGTATAATCTACAGGCACAGATCACAGAATAAAAGATGGATGGGAGTTCAAAGACTGCTTTAAACTAATGACATAATCTTTTGCAGCTCTGCCTGGCAATTAAGTCCTGAGCCCTAAGTTTGGTTTTAACATATGTTGATAAAAAAAGGACAGAAATTACCCATGAGTGTTTCTTAATGAGTTAGGAAAACAGCGCACATTTGGAAAAAGACAAAGTGGCTTTATTAACTGCTAGTGATGAAGACATTGTTTTAGATCTTAATGCAAAATTTAATATAAAAATATAGGGAAGAGTGTGGTCTACAAAGAAGATAAGCTATTATCCACAAGTTGTAAATTACCACTGTCATTTACTTCACAAAAATTTAACTACTTTGTTTACCACATCATGACATGCCAGCAGTTGTTCAAGCCAGAAGTGCATATTGTAAAAGCCTGTTGGAATAATACTATATACATTTTTATCCTAGTAAATAATACTGTGTAATACATTATTAGCATTTTTTAAGTATTTTTTATTTCAAGTTATTTTTTTTCATAGGCTTTTCCATTTATGTTTACAAAAGTATTTCTTGTTTTAAACATCTACTTTAGTGGAAACCATTCAGCTGGTTTTATACAAAGACCTTTTGTAGAAAATGGTAGAATTATTTAAACATTTTCTAATACTGTAGCTGCTTTGACTTAAGCCAATGGCTAAAAACTTATCTACCAGAATGTGCATAAAACACACTGTGAAATATCAGCTATGCATCTTCCCACTGAGAAGCAGAAGGAAGGAAGCATAAACTGCGAGTGGAAGAAATGGGAATATATAGTCCAGGTTTGTGAAGCCTCAGGCCAAACTTCTACCCCCTGGTCCACACAACACAAACTGTCAGGCTGTCCTCCAAAGGGGATATTTCCTGGCATGGTGCTGTGCAGCAGTAAGCAGAGATACTTGGGCTAGCCATGAACAATTTGCCAGGCTAACACTGCGTGTTCCCACCAGCCCTATTGAGCACTGATGGATATGAGTTCAGATGGGGTACTGCAGCACTGACCCTGTCTGGCTTTCCAGGAAAGCATGGTCACACTTGGCTGGGGTAACATCTGCCTGAAACAGAAACAGAAGGATCCTACCTCAGATGAATCCTGCCTGGAATAATACTCTATTCTGTACAATGAATGGGAATAAGTGAAACTGCTTACAATTGCTGAAGTGATCACATCTGTTTCCATTCCATGAGGTTTGAAATGTGGAAATCATCATTCCTTTGAAATTGCATATGTTCTAGTGATAAGTTTTATCAGATCAGCTTTGGAACATTTAATAAATTGTACCTTGTGTGAAAACAGTATTGGAAAAATCAAATCCTTTCTGTTGAAAAAAAACCCACCCTGTTTTCAGGGGGAAAAAAAAGAAAACTCAAAACTTTGAGCCTGGACCTTTTCTGCCAGTTTGGATGATACTTTATCTTCTGAAAAACAAAAGTTGTCTGTGCTACTATATGGGGAATATATTTTATATTGCCACAACAGTTCCTCGTTTGCTTTCTAAAGTGTTACAGATTCGTGTGAGAAGGAAGAGCTTGTGTAAGTTAAGCTGTAACAGGACTTCCTGGTCGTCACAAGGAAGCCCTTAGTCAGGATTCCCTCAGTAAATAAGACCTTCTTCTAAGTGACTCTTCTAGTGTATTCTAGTAGCATTTTCAATACAATTTAGAAAGTGCTTTTGAATCATAAGTGAATACTTCCAGAAAGGCTATCTTCACTCCTGTTTTCCCTCCACTACTAACATTGGCTCCAGTCGTGTGTTCGTACTTGGGTGCGAATTGAGAGGTGTTCAGCTTCTGTGTGGTTCTGGTGTTGCCCACTGGACTTGGCCACTGCAGAATGTGTGTTCCACTTTGTCCAGTTCCCGGGGCTCGAGCGCAGCCTTTCCCTGTGTTACACCAGGCAACGCAGCAGCACCACCCTGTGGGAAGTAATATTTCTCCTCACTTACAAGACACTAGGCAAGAACTAGAAAGCAGTGTTTGACCAGAGCATCTATGGGTAGTACCGCAGTCCAGCACAATCCTCCAAAGACCCAAGCAGGTCAGGCACCAAAAATATATTTCTTGCGTTACTATGCTCCACAATCAATTTCTTTGCTGTGGAGAAGACTGAGCCACTCTGACTCTTCACCAACAGTCAGGTGCACATTTTTCTCAAAGTACTTTTTTGCTCTTCCTTATTTCTGCAAGGTTCATTTTCCAGGAGAGAGGCAGGAGAGGCTCCGATAGTGGGGTGTGTAGGGGAGCATGGATTTGCCACCATGGCTTTGGGAACCTGCACTACTTCTTCCTCGAATTCTTCCCTGCTGCTGCCCATGCCCTCAGGAGGCTTTGGATGGCAACGATGCTGAGGCTAGAAGCTTCAAGACTGAGAAAGGCAGTGAGGTCACCTAATGTACCCTTTCGCACACACAACTCTGAGAATGCCACCACAGGTAGCCACTAGTTCCTGGCTTTAGCCCTGCTGTTGTTCCTACCAGCTTTCAGGAGCGGTGTGTCAGTCCTGCTCACAGTCCTTCCTTCTCT